TGCTGGAGAACATCTCTGGGACTTTTCTGGTCCCTTTGCTCATGAGTAATTGCTTCCTAGAAAACTTTTTCCAAGCCCCAAATGTTTCTTCTGAGCTGAAAGGATGTGACCCATTAGAGAAGTTTGCTGCAAAGCAAGGGGTCAGCAGCCTCAGGCACCTGCTCCTCCTGCCTTTCCTGAAGTCAACTATGAGGGCTTGTGATCTTCAGTAAAGTCAGGTTCAAGAGAGGGCAGGTAGCTAGGGTACTGCGCAGACAGACTCCTATGCTGGGACAAGAACGGAAGCTCCAGGGCTTAGCTGAGATCACCCAGTTCTTTCCACCTTTTTACCCCAAAGACTGATGAGACATTTCCTCTTAATAATTTGTGTGTGTCACAAAAAGGGTGTATGCATATGTGCACACACTCATCTCTGAGCAATGTAGGAGATTTTTGGATTACAATGGGAGTAGCATTTGATGATTAAATGAAATTTGTGAAAGTGCTAATTGAAACCCTGTCAAAAAGATGATGATTTTAAAATGCAAGTCACTAAAATGAAATGATAGATTGCTTGCATTTATTTTACAATATATATTTTGCTAGCCTCTCCCAGTTTGCCCAAGGAAAAGGGTGAAGAAAATACTAGCTTTTTCAAGTTTCCATTTTTTTATACTAATTGCTGGGTGTGCAGAAAGATATGAAATTCTTAAGTGTTAGTTGGCCTCAATGGATCCCATATTTCTTATCTGTAGATGTCAGTAAACATTAAAGTAGGGATCCTCATATCTATGACATTGATGGTGGGAGCAATGTTGTGAGATTGTGTGACAGATTATGTTTTTCATAGATGGCCATAAAAATATGTCCTGTCCTGCATATTCTTCTTACGATGTGTTACTGGCACTTCTCCCACAGAAAGGTCAGCTCTATGTATTCTCTTTCTCAAAGCTCAGCAAGATTTATGATTGTTTTGGCCAACAGGGTATGGTAGAAGTAATGCATGTGACTTTTTAGGCTGGGCCAGCAAAGGTGACAGTTTTCCTTCGATCTGTTGGACACTCCCTTCAGAGTGCTAGGTTACCATGAAGACATCTACTGCCCAGGTTGCATGGAGAGGCCTGGCTGGCTGACAGTTCCAGTTAAGATTCCAACCAACAGCCAGAGTCCAATGCCTGACATGAGAATGAAGACACCTCCGGGTGAGACTGACCCCCAGCCATCAAGTCTTTTCAGCTGAGGTTCAGGTATCATGGAGTTGACTTCACTGTGCTTTGTCCAAATTCTCTACCCACAAAATCTGAGTGTCATAAAATAGTTACTTTACACCACTAAGTTCTGTTACATGGAAACAGCAGTTGGAACAGAGATATAAAACTAGGAGCCCTGTATACTCCCTGAGTCCTCCCAAGATACTCTTTTGGAGAGTTAGAGTTTTTGGAACATGATTTGAAAAAAATCTGGGACTAACCAATCTTCAAGGGTTCCAACTTCCCTGTTTCTAATAAACTTAGAATTTAATATCTTCATCAAGAAGAAGTATCTTGCCCCGTATTACAAATTGAGTTCTCTTTACTCCAAAGATGCTGAAGTTCTGACCTCTAGTACTTGTGAATAGGACCTTACTTGGAAATAGGGTGTCTGCTGGTCTAAGATGAGGTCATTAGTCACCAATATGACTCTTGTCCTTATGAAAAGGATTTGGACATAGAGACAGACACAGACACAGACACACACACACACACATACACACAGGAAAAGCCATAAGAAATGAAGGTGAGATGAGGATGGTACAGCTACAAGCTAAGGATCACTGAAGATGGCTAGCAAGCTTCCAGAAGGCAGGAGAAAGGGATGGGATAAATTCTCCCACAGCAGGAACCAATTGTGATGCAGATGCCTTGATTTAGAACTGTGGACATTAAATTTGTTTATGCCACCCAGTGAGTGTTACTTTGTTGTGGCAGCTCTGAGAAACTGACTCAGGGGTGAGTTTTAAGTGGGTGATGGACCTTCATGTTCTAAAGCCCTCTGCAGCTTCATCCAGGCCTCTTGATTGATTCGGCAATGTAAGTCTTGGTTTTTCTACTTACCGAGCTTCAACTCTGAGAGGGTAGATGTGCTAGGCCCTAAAATCATTGTCAGACAAACAGTAAGTTTACTAGGCAATGAGGCAGATTTAAAAAGTTGCAAGCAATTCTAGGTAAGTCTTAAAATACTTTAGAAAAAAAAATCTCAGGAGTTTTAATACAAGTAGAGCCCTACACTGGATTTTGGTGGAGCCGAAGATAGAAGGGATGAATCAATGAATATGTAGTATTTTCTGTGCCCTTGTCTAATCAAAGAATGTGAATACAATAAATGTGACTCCTTTATTGTTGAGCCTACTTAAAGCATTTGTAGAGTGCTGGATAGATTTTATTATGTTCTTTTCCCCCTTCCCTCCCTGTATACATAAAACATATGATTCTAAACATTTTAAAACAAATTTTAAAAAAGAATACAATATTTATGTCTTACAATATTTCACCATAGTGATGGTTAGATGGTTAGGGCTATCAATAATGTTACCAGTTTTTATGATAAGGTTTTGGAATGAAATTTCAGATGGTTTTGATTTTTTTTTTTAAGGTAGGTAAAGCTAATGGACACTTTATTTATTGCAAGCTGAGGAATGAACCCAGGGCCTTGCACACACTAAGCAAGTGCTCTATTACTGAGCTATATTCCCATCCCTTGATGCAGCTTTTTTTTTTTTTTTTTTGGTTCTGAGGAATGAACCCATTGCCTTGTGCATGCAAGGCAAGCACTCTACCAACTGAGCTATATCCCCAGCCCTTGATGCAACTTTTTGATGAGATTTATAATTAAAGCACTCAGTAGTTATTAGCAGTTTCTGAGTTAGAGAAAGTTGTGTGATAATAATTTTCTAGCTGGTTTACTATACTTGAGATTTGATTGTCTTAATGTTGGTAGAATTTGAACAAATCACCCTAAATTTTGGAAAGCACATTAAGTATGAGGAGGTGGCCTGCTACTCAAGTCACAGCTCTACTCTCCCTGCCCCACATAAAACATGTTATTAATATAAATCAGGTATTTAATCCCTTCAGCACTGTTCATATTTCCCAATTGACATAAATTCAGTTTCTTTGAGTGGTAACCTGGACCTAACAAAATATTGATGTGGCTAAATGTTTAGATTGAATTGTTTTGACTGACACCAAATCTGTAGTTCTCAGTTTTACAGAATGAATTCATTTAAAATATTTCCTCACTAAAGTAAAGGCTGTCAACATCCTGTCTTTGTTTCTTGATATTAGCCTGCTCATAGTGTTAAGGCTCACAAGTATAACTACCAGGAAAGGTTATGAGTCATGCTTCCAGAGGCTAGAACCTGGGGAGAGTGAAGAAAAAAAAATCCTTCTAATTTTGAACAAACTGACTTCCTGTTAGAAAGGCTTACAGAAAAGTCCTGCCCCTGTGAAACAAAAATTGGTTTCCTTTTGGAGATCATTGTGTGTACAGTCTTTCAGGTTTTCATTGGGATTGGCTATTCTGTGAAGTATTTTTCATAAAGAAATCTAAATCACTAAGAAATATAATTTATACAAACCACTCAATAGGCACAAGTGGAACTCATCAACTGTTTCACAAACTTCTCAACATTTATTCCTCAAATGCACAGTGAATACATCTTCATGTTTTTGCGTTAGTCTTAATTATGCTTGGACTAAATCAGCCCAATAAAGATATTCAAAGCTACCCAAATGTTATTTAGAGTATGATTTTAACAAAATTATCACATGTTGTCTATGATATTAGGTGGAATTCCAAGAACTTTCACAATTCAAAGTGAGGAAATGTTATAATTTTTTTTTATCAGAATCACTTCTGGGATTTTTTATGTAATAGAATAATTATGGAAGAAATATAAGATGCAAAGCTTACAGGTTACTTCTTTTCTGTCATGTTCTTCAACACATATTACCTGAGACTTGTAAGAAGAACTGGTTAAGCTGGGCGTGGTGGCACACACCTATAATACCTGTGGCTTTGGAGGCTGAGGCAGGATGATTTCAAGTTCAGAGCCAGCCTCAGCAAAAGCAAGGTGCTAAACAACTCAATGAGACCCTGTCTCTAAATAAAATACAAAATAGGGCTGGGGATGTGGCTCAGTGGTCAAGTGCCCCTGAGATCAATCCCTGGTACCCCTCAAAAATAAAAAAAACCAAAAAAACTGAACCAAATAATTTTTTAAAAATGGTATATGTCTCAAGTGTAATGAGTTGAAATGAAATTAATTCCTTAAAGGACTGAAAAAAATAAGTCTATATGCATTGTGTACACAATGAACTGAAATCACCAGCTCTCTCGAATCTACTATATTCCCAGCTTGTCCCCCAAAGTTCTCCAGTTTCATCTAATCTCTTCTAAGGGTCTGATACACATATTCACATGGTACATCCCATCACATTCACCATCCTTCCTCATCTCAGTCATCCTTCTCCAAAGAGTTGACTATCAGAAAAATAAATGCTATACAGAAGAAAGTTACCAGTCACAATTCTCTTATGCATAAGTGATACATAAATTTTTTCTTGTTCAAGGTTTCCATAAGCCTAGAGTGACTGTGGTTAATTAGTGAGGCCTCCTAGCTGTGCAGAACCACTCTGATTCCTTTAAATAACCACCATCATTACCATAAAAGTATTTACTGAAAGCTGGGCTGGACAGCCATTGTACAATTTGGTCAGGCAAATGCCCAACAATTGCACTCCAGATTATATATTAAGGCGCTAATTACCCAAATGGAACTCCAGGGGCAGCTTAGGTAGATGCAGTACAGTGAATTAAGGAAGGAAATAATTAGTCACAATTACAGAAACTAGCTCAATACCAAGTGAAAGAATGCATGCAGCCCATTTCCGGTAGAGCACAGGGAGACTTAGTAATAATAGTTTAAGAAATGCAAAAGATAAACATGACTTATAAAAATGAGCAAGGGACTAATCTCAGTGTTAACTTACAAAAATGACTTTATTTAAGTTATTTTCTGTTCCTATGTACTACATAGCCAAATAACATTAAGACATTTTATCATGAATTTGTATTATGACAAGTCAACTTTCAAGCCTTTTTCTTGACAGTCTTAGAAGTTTTGCCAGTAGTTGACACAATCTGAACACTTATAGACAGTGAGGAGATGAGTGGCACATAAGGCATGGAGTTTCAACCCCAATAAAAATACGCACTAAAGAAGCAAAGTAAGGTAGGAGAGAAGTATTCAGAAGGAGGCAAATTCAAACAACATTAAAATCCATGCACAGAGCCTGTTACTTGACATGGCCAAGAAATCAAATTGTCCAAAGTTAGATACCCCATGTCAAATTCTTCTGATTAAAAAAAATTTCTTGTGACATGGGTAGATCTTCCTGTCTCTCCAAAATGAATGCAAGTATGCCATCTTCATCAATGAATGACTCTGAGAAGACAGAATAAGAGTGGATACTAATTTGGAAGGCAGGAAAGTGTCAGAAGCATGGTAGTGGGACCTGATCTGAAAAATTTACAGCAAGTCATGTTCTGATCAAGGCCACCCAAGTTCTCTTACCATGTTTCTAAGTAGATAAGAAAAGAGAGAAAATTGTATAGACCCTTTAGGCAGTCTATTCCCCCCTAATTATGCTGTTTTGTTCATTTGTTTTGCTAACTTGAGGTTAACCCTATCCAAATTTATTGAGATCCTACCCCAAAGGTGAAATATTTGAAGAGCATCATCACATTCAGGATTCAAAGGAGAATGTTAACTGAATCTTAATTTATGCTTGAAAAATGAATTGAAATTATGTTGACATTTATCTGTTCACTACTAAATACTGCTGACAGTGTTCATAATGATGGATCATAAATGCTTATTGTTTAAATAAATATATCATGATGACTAATCAGGTATTTGGTATAAAATTAAATTAGAGAGTAAAATAAATTACTTTAAGAATGGACTTCACTTATAGTAGAATATAAACAACAGTAAAACCCTACTAGGAGACATCTTAAGAGATAAAGATTTTGTTTTTTTCTTTTTTAACATCAGAAATCATAAAATAGTGTATTGTAAGAACTTGGACTTCTTTATTCCAAGTAACTCAAGGAAGACTCAGGTTGTTAAGACCCTTCTACAAACAGGTTTGAGATACAGGTAAGGAGGCGCCTAGAAATGAGTACATACTTGCAATAGGCATCTCTTCCCAGCTTTTCTGAGAAAGCAGTGCCTGCCACACAAGATACCTCGTAAACTGTTAGGAGTCATTAAAATAGCTGGAAAATACAGTGACAGGGAAAGAGAGGTGAGCACTAAGAAAATTTTATCACTGTAAATAACAGATTCTACTGTATCAAAAACCAGGACATTAAAAATGCTGCATCAAAAGCAAAACAAACCCAACACATAAGAAGAAGATAGAATAGCTTTCTGAGGCACGGTGTTCTGAGGGGGGTTCCACTGGGATGCATTTTTTCCAACCAGACCACCAATTATTTTTACTCTGCATTTCAACAATAAAACTCACCAAAAAAAAGCTTACCCAGCATGAGATTCAAGCAGCCACTGGAGTTGATAATATGTAAAATGCTTTTTTTTTTTTTTTTTTAAATATTTACACAGCAGTTACTCGCGAATTCTATTGAGGCCAGAGAAAGATAGCTAGTTGTCCTTTTTAGCAAGAGCACTTGGAAAACACAGAAAGTGATTAGGTAAATACTTCTGTCCACTGAGTTGATCAGTTAAAGAACTTTAGAAAAAGTCAGCAGTTCATTTACCTGAGTTTCCCATTTAAAGGCTAAATAGTAAGTAATTGAATGCTTTTACCTAAGAATGTGAACAAAATCTTATAATATTAAAAGGGCCAGAGTCAGAAAATTTAGATTTTTGATTTTTATAAAATCTAATAGAAAGATCTATGAATTTCCCTTTAGTTAAAACATAAAAGTTGTGGACCTATGCTGATCTTCTGAGCATTATTTACAACTTAAGTTGGGAATCAGCTTGCAAAATCTTTAAGAAAACAAATCAAATTCTTTTGGAATTTTGAGCAAGTGACAAAAGCCAATTATTAGTGACTTATTTCACTGAGGAATCCATATGAGGTTGCTAGTTATTACTAGTTCAGCATAAATATAATTTTAACCTGAATAGATCCATTTTGAAGGGTGATAGAGATAATAACCATACATGTCAATCAAGAAAAACAGTGCACACAAGTGTTCTGCCATCAGGTGTCTAAGCTTACTTTTCAACAGGGTATTTCAGTCATGCTCAACCATGGACAATCTGCCAACAAACTCCTTGTTTAAAACAAACAGGACTATGTTTCTAAATACAATACAGTGTTCATATTTGGGATCCCAATATTCTGGAATTGAATATTTTATCATATAAGAACTACACCACGTTACTATTCTAAAACATCATTATTTTAACTTCAGGTCTAAATAAATCAGCTCCACAAAATCACATTCTGAAACTTCAACACAGAACAGAAAATGTGAAGCTCTTGGTCTCTGTTATTGGATTATTAAACAAGTAAAATGTATTTTTCCCTTTAATCCTCCACCCCCTGATGTATCTGAATGTTTAAAACACAACCGAGGTACACGTGTCTGCCCAGCAGTCACCATAGCTGCCTCTTGTACACAGCGCAAAGTAGAATCGGGCAAATTCACCAGGATCAAGGAGCCATTTTTAAAAACAGCATTTTAAAATCCCAAACCATCTTCCTACTTTCTTTTGTTATTAAGTTACAAAGCTTTATCGGGTCAGCCAGGGAAATATTTAGCCCAAATCCCCATATTATGTTGGATTTTAAGTACAAAGGTAAATAAAAGCTCTGCTGATCGGCAGGCAAAACTTCTTGCTAAGTGATACCACTTAGCACTTTATTCACACTTCTAAAAAAAAAAAGTTAACAGAACCATTTTAGATGAGATATGTATTTTAAGCCAGAGAGCAGACAGAGTTTCTGTGCTGTACCACTAGCAGGCTTGTGGGAAATCAATAAATATACATATGTATTCATATATATAGAAGTGGATTATTTTGTGAAACAGGCAGGATTTGAATAGCTTATCCCTGCCACAGTGCCTAGAGGAAAGGAGAGCTGAATGGAATATACCAGCTCTTCAACAGAGTGCTTGCTTTTTTTTTTTCCATCTGATGCATCTGCTTATCAAGATATCAAAGATGATTAAATTACTCAAAAAACAGGCTTCTAAGTCTATGATTTTTAAATTTAATTATCTATTAGGATGTTAAAATAAATCTAATTTCTCTAGGGCTCTTCACCAGTACTGCATAGCAATGTTGAAATTATAGCATGGAGGTGCTTTTGTATTTAGTTTTAAAATGTTTTTTTTTAAAAAGGTTGGTAAAAACACAAATCAGTTGAATTATAAATCACCAATTCAAGCATGCCAACCAGTAAGGATTGCTTTCTTTATGAACTTACAAAATCCTTGTCTGAGGATAATTGTCACTGTCGGTATATGAAATAATACAATTCAGGGGCAAATTTTAAAACTAATACCCTGACAAAGGACTTCAGTGAATTTATACTTCGGAGAAAAGTTTTCTGTAGAATGAAAGGCTTAGCCAATGGAGAAGACAGCTGTTATTAAAAATAAACTAACAAGCATAGATTCCTTGGTGTAGACATGATGAAAACAAAAACAGGGACCCGGTACTGGTGCAAATGGGCTAAAAATGACATTGGCAAGATATCTTCATCCATTTAAAATATGCCAAAGTGCATGCAATTTATATTTCCCTCCCTTTTACAAGAATGAACTGAAAAAAATAAAACAAAACCAAAAAAACATACGGAACCATCTGTTTCTGTCAGTAGAAAACAATAATAGATACATTAGGTTCCAAGACAAATAAAACTTTAAAATATTAATATTGAAAAAATACAATTAAATTTTTATTAAAAAATACATACTCCTTACTCAATCTTTGTGTACATTTTGTTTCATTGTGAAAAAGAAAAAAAAATAAAATAAAATAGGAAAGGCATTAAGACTACCTAATTACTTATACTGTATTTGGTAGAAGCGTGTTTCAGTCAAACTCTGATGAAAAATAAGTTATTCAGCTTTCATTTGCTCCCGGACGTCAGAAGGCAGAGTTTCAAACAGAGCATCTTCCACAACCAAACCAGCTCTCTTCAGAGCCCGGCAGTCACCGAGTTCTGGAGGGAGGATCTCAAAGTGATTGCCTTTGACGTCTAAGTAGGAAAGAAACAGTAAATTTCCAATTTTTGGTGAGAGTACAGACAGGCTGTTTTTCCCAATCTTCAGAGTTTTAAGTTTCTTGCAGAAGTACAGTTCATCTGGAAGGCTTTCCACTTTGTTACAAGTGATGGAAAAATACTGTAAACTTTGTAGAACTCCAACTTCAGGTGGGATAAATCGAATGTCATTGTAGGATAAGTCCAAGTATCGGATTTTGTTGCATAGGAAGAGGTGGGAAGGCAGCACCTCTATTTTATTGTGACTGAAGGACAGTCGTTCCAGGCTGGTGAGCTTCTTTATATGCTCGGGGATGTAGGTGATGCTGTTATGCCACAGTTTCAGCACTGTCAGCTTTCTCAGGTGCTGGAAGCTCACAATTTCTTCTATAGATTTCAGGTTGTTTTCTTTCAGGTCCAGTTCCTGGAGGCTGAGCAGGCTGAACACGGCATGGGGAATGCGCTCCAGGTCACAGTGGACCAGTTCCAGCTCTGTAAGATTGGTCATCTTCTTTAAGTTGTTGAGCATGACCAGCTTGGTGCCGTCATTATGGATGCACATCTTTTGGAGATGGCTGGAAACATCCACCACTGCCTGAGGGATTTTGGAGACGTTACTTTTGATAGAGAGGATTTTAAGGCTTTTGAGATCCCGCAGAGACTCAAGGGTAATATTTTTGGATATGTCATGACTTAGAGATCCAACCAGGTAGAGCTCTTCCAGATTCCGGAGTCCATACATCCACGGGGGCAGCTCCCTCATGTCATCAAACTTGACGCTCAAAACCTTGAGGTTTTCCTTCAGGAAAGAGAGTGCTGCGCTGTGGATTTTGACAGAACACTGGTGGAGAGAGAGCTCTTGGAGATTGTCTAGCTGTGCAATGGTGGCTGGGATCATTACATTCTTAATAATTTCAAGTTTTAGAGACTGCAACTCTGTGATTTCAAAAACAGTGTCCGGAAGGCCAGAAAGCATGATAAGAGGCAATTCCAGTCGATTATGGGCATTTGTCTGCAGCTTCTGCCTCAGTTTGTCAGGAGTCCACTCGTTATTTAAGTTCAGCTGCTTCAATTTGTTTTCACTGACTTCGGACAGGAACACTGCAAATCTCTTGGAATAGAGAGGGTCATATTGATCTATCATATGAAGCATAAAAGCAAAATCATTTTTCACATCTGGAATATCATCAATTCCAGTCTCCTGGCGGACATACTCAAAGGAGTATTCCCTTAGGGAACGGTAGAACAGCCAGTATAAGGTGTAAAGGCACGTCAATCCATAGATACTTACAAAGCATAGGTAGCAAAAGGAGAGTTTTGAGAACAAGTGTGCCATGGTATGATTGCAAGAGAAGTTTTTATATCCAGTCATGTCCTGAATGTCAACATTACAGTCCACTGTAAACTGGACTTTGGAAACCAGAGCGCTATTATATGCAATGATGATTAGGAACTTGATAACCTTCAGTACAGTCTGGCGAACATACATGGCATATAATATATCACCTTCTTCCACATGCAGCCTGAACTTCTTCACCTTCTCAAATAAGGCCTTTGCTTGCTCACCTTCCTTTTTATCCAGAGCCCCTGCAGTAGATTTGTCAACCACAAACTTCTCAGGGATTGACTTTAGAGACTGAGAGTTGACCAGGCTGCCTTCGGGGCCAGACTGGGTGGTGTTGGACCTGTTCATATTGTTCTTCCTGTTGTCCTTTTCCTCAGAGTCCTCCCCAGACACTTCAGATAAAGCCCGTGTGGTCCAGGGAGAGTCAAAACACTTCCCCAGGATGGAGATGAAATGTTCTATTTTGGAGCTGGAGCCAGGGAATTTGAACCAAAAGTTGCTGCAGAGCATGAAGACCAGGGTATGGATGAGCACAAGGTAAGGGAAATACTTGGCGTACCAGTGGAGGGCTCGCTCATAACACATCTGGTTTATGAAACTGTACTGTTGCAGGTCCAAGTCTGTCTTCAGTCCTTTCATTTCCACAGTGGCAGGGTTCCCGGGAGATGGTTTAGGTGGAGGCAGTGGGGTGGTACTGGCAACGGCTTGAGACACATTCGAAACGGAAGTGTGGTTCTGAGCAGGCTGCACTCTTTTCGGAAGGCAGATTATCTTGTCCTGCATGACCTGAAACACAGAAATAATATGTTCAAATTATATTACTCTAAGAGCTTTCCTAATGACATTAGTACGAAGAAAGGAGCAATATCATCCAATAAATGTCCGTTTCCTCCGCCTGGAGAATATAATGCTCAATTCCAGCACCAGCATTTTACTCTTAGCTCATACGTTGGAAAAAAATGAAATAAATATCTGACTTTATTTCTCATGTGTAAGCTGTGACATAAAACAGCAATTTTTTTGAAGACACAGAACAAGTTATAACAAAGTGACTATTTAGAGAATCTTCATATATATATTTCTAATTTGTATCTCTTCTCTCACCAGACACTGGAAAAATCAGTTATTGGTCTGGAAAGTATATTTCCTTATCAGATGTAATCTTGAGTTAGATGGCTCCCAATATTATATTATTTTATATATGAGTAGTAAAAGAATTGGAAAGAAGAAATATGGAAAAATTCTAACTTTATTGTTTCCCTTTTTCTTTCTACTCATATCCTGGTTTTTATGCAAAAATTAATATGAATGGCTCAATATAATAAAAATTTTATTAATTTTTTGGGAGGGTGCCGGGGATTGAACTCAGAGGCACTCAACCACTGAGCCACATCCCCAGCCCAATTTTGTCTTTTATTAGAGACAGGGTCTCACTGAGTTGCTTAGCACCTTACTATTGCTGAGGCTGGCTTTGAATTTGCAATCCTCTCGTTTCAGCCTCCCAAACCACTGGGTTTACAGGCATGCATCACTGTGCCCAGCTTTGTTAAGTTTTTATACTAACCATTTCTTCAGAAAGAGATGAAAGAAGATGGGAGTGTTCAATAGAAAAGTAATTATGTCAAAATTTGCTAGCTTTTCATACAATATTGAGAATCTCTCTCCCTCTACTGATGCTTTAAGTAGTTGAAAACAATGTTATGCTATAAGAATGTCAAGATTGCAATTTGAGAAAGAGAAGGGCCCTTTTTGAAGATGAAGTAGGATGAGGCAGAATATACCTTGAGAGAACCTGGAGGAATCATATCCATGAAGAAGCCCACGTAAGTGGAACAATCTGAACAATTAGCAAACAGTTCCAAGGAAGAATAATAACTGAGGACTATACAGCAATGACATGCGGAATTAATAATTCAGGAGAAGTCTACTTGTACTTGAAGATGTCAAATGGTGGGAAATCCAGTGTTTGGTGATTCTGCAAGAGTAAGGTATCTCATGATGTTGCCATGTCAAAGTCTTTTACATTGACTAGAGAGGCAGAAACTGAACCCATTGTAAAGTAGACTGCTAGGCATGGTAGGTGACCACAAGCTAGGGATGAGGGAACAAGCATCTCAGCACACAGAAGTACGAAATTGTCAGTGGAGTGAAGCATCCAACACTTAGGGAAGTGTTGTCACACAGGAGACCATTAGTAAATATTTGCTGAGAAAGTGAATGAATCCAGAACTGCCACCAGTCCTTTGGCTCAGGGTTGTAAGGGCCTGGGTGTCGAGGACACCTCTCTTAGGATGAAGATGAAGATTGTTGACAACAGCAAACTTATATTGTGCTTAGTATGTGACTGTCCCTATTCTCATAATGTCATGGGGCAGGTACTCATTGTTTCCATTTTGCTGATGAGGACACTGAGGCATAGGCTCAGGTTAAGCAACTTGACTCATGTCATCTATAGCCGGAATCATCTGGACCCAGAGTCCATGTTTCTTATTTCATTTTACTGAATTTCTAGGAATAAATCAAAAGGATCCCAGTATGACTTTGTCCTAGATAACAAGTACAAGCTTTTTAGGTACAAAGCTTGCTGCTTCCCATAGCCTATGCATAAAACAAGAAATGAGGCTAGAGAAAGAGAAGTAGAGAGAAACAGGGGAAAGGAATGTTCTTCCCTGAGCACATTCTCCAAGAGTGACAACCTTGGGCTAATATGTTAATATGACATTGTTAATGATGTCATGAAAACAAGTGTAAAAGCAAGACTAGTTCAAGTCAAGAAAGCAGGCACCTTCTTAAAAGGTGCTAAGTTCTTGCCAAACTACTAGGCAGGCTCTCATGCTGTCCCTCCTGTAGGCTTGCTCCTAATGATGAAGATGGGTAGGGTTTCCTGGCTGCTGCATAGAATTTTAGGCTACGCTCTGTACCAGTGCACCTGGCTGAGGGGCAAGCATGGGCTGTAATCTAGCTTGTGCTCCTTCACTTAACTATATGCACATAGGGCTACGTCCACACTGTAGGGGTGGCTTTTTATATTTTGCACAAAGGCATCTGATTGGCTGGGGGGCTGCCACGCTGGGAAGGTAGATCCCATTCTCCCCATTCTGCAGAAGAAACGGACCTAGGTTCAAAAGAATGACTTGTTCAAGTTCACACAACAGGAATCACAGCTGTCTTCTTTTTCTGGCCCAGTGTTCTTCCACTGTTCCACACGGTCTTCTCATTTCATCAGCTTCAGTCCCATGTAGGAGGGCAATATTAGCCAAGTTTCTTTCAGACCTCTGATTTTATGTTTCTCCTAAAATCTTCATGAAGATATAGTTTTTGAAATGTGCCTGCTCAAATTCTGGGAGGGTAAAGACAGTGATTTATTTTCCAAAAGCTGTTAACCACTCAGAAATGAGAACTGAGTAGGAAAAAATACTGGAATTTAGTCACTAAAAACTGTAGTTGCTCATGTTGCTGAGGGAACATATCATCAGAAGATTCCAGCACAGAGGCAACTCCAAGTAGAATTCTGAAAGAATGCAGGGACAGGTTGTTCAATCCAGAACTATGAAAAGCAACAACCACCAGCTTAGTGAGTCCTGCAGTCAATAGTATGAAGATTTAAACAGTAAAATAGTTATGGGAGAGAGGAAGTCAGTTTCTTCTATGTTTAACAGAAACAGTATATTTTTTAAAATACTGCAACATCAGGAAGGACTGGGAGAATGATCAGCACTTTCAAAGTTATATTAAAAAAGAGAAAGAATCCCCCTACCCCCAAAGGCAAGATAGGATCCCTAAAAAGGGGTAGTGGTGATACAGGGCATTTTTGGGGTATCTCTGTAAAACTCTGTGGCATTCTGTAAAACTTGAAATTTTTTTCTTCATCTTTTCTGCTTTTCTAAGAAGTCTGCAAGTTAAACCTGTACCTCACTTCTCTTTACCTTTACCCAGCAATTGAAAGATTAGAGTGCAAAACAAGTCTTAAAGAAAGGCTGCAAAACAAACTTGGAAAGAATTAATTGTGGGGTTCTAGCTGCTAGCACAGGACTACACTAGAGTATGGGCAGGGAGAAAGTCCCCAGGCCCCTCCAGTTATAAAACCCTATGCGAAGTGCAGATCCTCCCCAGCAGCTCCTCCAGTTGCAGTGTGGGGAAGTTGTGCCCCTCTCAGGGACAACCATGAGGCTGCCTTTGGAAGGAAAAGGCTTAAGTATAAAGCTGCATGTTGAGTTTATGTAGGGCAAGTAGAGGAGGAGGGGAAGAAATTGGGGGTGGGGGCAGGGAAGAAAGGAAAAAATTAAAAAGCAACGTGAACAGGAGAATGTGATCCAAAATATACCAAGGGGAGAAAAGTAGCCAAAAAGCTGATATGAGAATCCTTCTCAGAATGAAGGCATTTATGTTAAGGAAAATAGATCAGAGTAAACATGAGAATGAGGAGAGGGACACAGAGAGGCGCACCTGACAGCTAGTGTCAGGTGAAGCCAAGGCACAATTTGCCCCCTCTCCATTGTGGAGAAAAACAGTATTGTATAAATAAATTTTTTGGAAATCACAGCAAATTCATGCATGGATCAAAGTTGAATAGAAAGGAAGAATTTTCTCAGGATGGGTAAAAATAAACTATTTCCATGAAGCAGATACCAGAACATGAGAATGGAATCCTTCGGGCGTGTGCCAAAACTTAAGAGAGGGCACTGGACTAGTGTTTGACCCTAGATCCTCTAGATCTTCAGGAGCAGCTGTCATCTAGTTCAGGCAAGACCTGAACAATTTCAGAGGAGGAAAAGTTTATTTGGGGGCTCACAGTTTCAGAGGTCTCAGTCCAAGACAACTGGCTCCATTCCTTGGGGCTTGAAGTGAAGTAGAACATCATGGTGGAAGAGCGTGATGGAGGGAAATGGCTCATACGATGATCACGAAGCAGACAGAGACTCCATTCTTCAGACACAAAATATATATCCCAAAGGCACGCCCCCAATGACCCACCTCCTCCAACCACATCCTACCTGCCTTCGGTTACCACTCAGTTAATCCCATCAGGGGATTAATTTACTGATTGGGATAAGACTCTCACAACCCAACCATTTCTCCTCTAAGTCTTCTTGCCTTGTCTCACACATGAGTTTTTTGGGGACGCCTCACAACCAAATCATAATAAAGTCACTTATGCTAAATGCTACGTGATCAAACTAAAACTTCAAGGAAGCAGATCTCCAAACAGACCAGTGTTTCCTGAGAGCAGGAGACCTCAGTCTATTTGCATCAGAGTAATAAGTAAGTCCTCTCTGCTAATTTAACCCTGATAAGTAAGTAACCTAATGTTAACCAGTCAGCTTTTCCCCTATTGTTCTTTTTCCTTGTCTCTACCTATGAAACCCACTGTTATTCTACTGCCCACCGGGAGCTCTCATTCTATTTTGCTACCTCAGTTCATGAATCACAAATAAAAACCAGTTAGATCTGTAACTAATTTTGTCTTTTGAGAGTCAGAATCATAGCACATATGCTGATTATGCAAAAAAGTGTAGTCTACATATTTAGGCTGTTGCCAGAGAAGCAGTTGAGTGAAATGCAGAACCCATCTGTGACAACCTATAGAATAGATGCCACATTTGTGTGCATGAGACCCCGAAGGGCTGAGATTAAAACAAAATAAAACAAACCCACTTAACTTCAGAGGAACTACTTGAAATAACAAAGATAGAGCAATATAAATAAAGACCAGCTTATCTAGCACATGCCAAAGGTGTAAATGACATATCCAGGACAGGGGTAGGACACGGGAACACAGTTCTGGT